AGCTTGGGGCCGAGATCATGCACGGGCCTGAATAATTAGAATTGGGTTTTGGAGGTTCCTTATGGCAGTTATAGTATATAGTATATAGTATATAGTATATATACCCCCAAGCCCTATTCTACTTATTAAGGCCCCTGCATTATGCAGTGCACCATGCGTACATGTCTACATATTAGGTCCATGCATGCACGTACGTACGAGTGGGCACATCCGTTGGTGGTAGGTAGATAGGTAGATAGGTAGCCAAGCAGGCAGTAGGTAGGCATGCTTGCTTGTAATAAGAACAATAACAAAGAGGACGACAATGATAGTAAGAATATCACAGTAATCATAACAATCAATCACAATAGGAAACATAAGCAGAATCATAATGATGATGATGCATGGAAAGCCACTAAATCATGGCTGTTGAACTGCATCCCAGAAGCATGATTGCAAGAAGAGTTGAAAAGTTGAAAACCCGACCAAAGAGGCAGACTTACATGTACATGCACATACATGCACACATGTGTTTGTTTATTTGCTTGCTTATCTATCTGTTTGCCTGTGCATACATGGATACGTCGACAAAGAAGTAGATGGACACATTCAAGCAACTCAGTGCACGGTGATATGCAAGTGTTGGCTGTTGGGGCATCAGAGCTCTGCTTGTTTTCAAAGGCAATATGTATGTGACAACTAATCATGCCTTGCACCTTGAGGTGCAGCTCAGCCCCTCTCAGCAAAAGTGGCTTGACAGCTATTCTTGGCGGAGGCTGTTCAGCCTGATTCACGGGGGACCCTTCCTCCGCAACTCGTGGTGGGGAGTACCCATACGCCCCATAATAGTTCCTGTTTGGGGCTGATATTATTTAGAATCCTATGAGGTAATCCCAAAAAGGAACTACTATAGGGCCTATGGGTAGTTTCGCTTTGCCGCAAAGGAACCATAGCGGCAAGTCAGGCAGGTCAATAAACTGGTGGAAGAGCCCGCCCATTAAACAAAACTGTGTTGAATTTTCACCGTGCCACGCACGCAGCTGCATCTGTGCCTGTCAGATGTCTGTTTAGGTTTAGGGCGCCATCCATCGCAGCGTACTAGACTTTCCAAGGGATCGCAGATTACTAGACCTCCCAAGGAATCGCAGCGTACTAGACCTTCCAAGGGAGGGGATAAGTCTCTGGGTGATCGACTCATGAACCTCCCCTTCAAAGACTGTGCCCAGGCTCTGCTGGCACTGACGGAGCTGCGTCTTGGTCGGAAATAAAATGCCTCTATCAGGCTTAGCCTGCATGGCATTGCTCTGCGAGCTGCTCGTATTCGACAAGATACGGGTTAGGCCTGTTGGACCTCCCAAAAGCAAAGTTGGGAAGCGAGCATTCCATGGCTTCCGGTCGCAAACGATGACGAATTCGCTATCACCACCCGTTGCCCCAGTCTGCTTGCCCCAAGCTGCAGCTCCGACTATGTGGAGGTTTCGTAGAATTGATTTCGGATCTCTCCGCAACGGTCTCTACAATCAGGATGCCACTATTTCTTGGGGTCCCTGTGTCAGGCTGCAAGAGTCCCTGAAACTCCAATGCTTGCTTGGCCGGAAGCCTGCAAACTGGTCTGATGTTCCGGCGCGAAGATTCCTATTCCTTAGCAAGAATTTTACTTCCTGAGCCTGTGATAATCAATGTCATGCCTTGGTCGCGTTCGAGCTGCTGTAGCTACCAGCCCTTGGGAAAGTAGTACGACAGTACCTCTACCGGACTCTACCGCTTAAGGCCATGGACACTCCAGGCAGGGCTCGGTTCGCACTCACCATACACGCTTCACGTGCTCCGGGCCCTTGGTCAACATCCAGCTCAAAAACTCCTGGAAGGATACCTGAGCTTGAAAAGTGCGGCACTTCGGTTAAGTGGGAATCGGCACTACAACACAACAGCAACGATGTTCATAGTACGAATGATGATATAATAACTAAAAGGTCGCAATTATCATAACAGTGACATACATAGTAACCATAATAGCAATTAGTATATTACTCATAAAACCGTAATAGCAATTATTGTGCTAGTGGTTTTGTCCATAAACATGCAAACCGTAAAAATCTTCAGACATTAACAAAAATAATCACGTCCGAAGCCTGGGATGGGAAACCCCAGAAGCCTAGCGCTGCCTCGCTCACAGGACCGAGCGGCGTTTCCACTCGCATCTGTGTCCACTTCTTGCCAATAGCCTCTCAAGAGATGATATAGGAGCCTTACGTAATCATCAGAGCAGGGTTTTGAGGCACCAAAAACAGCATTGGTAATTCATTAGGCCCCCCCAAATTACGAGTCGGGTGGGACGGCTTTACGGGGGCTAACCCTTCAACCTTTCCAGCGAGTGCACGAAACGAATACTCAATTCAAGGGCGTCAATGTGTGTGTATGTGGGCTTGAGATGCAGACCCTGGAGTGAAGGCTTGGCGGCCCATGACTGCCAACACTTGTGGCTAAACCACAAGCCAGGACAAAGCTTAAGTTCAAAGCCTGATTCTACCACACCCGCTATTAATCCTTGAAGCACTTTGGCGCCATATGCTCAGCAATCTGACTGCGACAACGTGCGAAGTATCTGTAGGCTACATGGTACGCGATGCCAGCACCACCTTATTCATGGTCGCCATCTTCAGGAGCATCGCCACCACCTCTATCAACGCATCATCCCAGATATCCGAACCGTCATACAACTAATGCAGCCGGGCGTCGGTGCAATCGCTGAGAAGAGATGTCGCGTGGATCCTTCACCTCCATGATCTGCATGATGACCTCGGGGACGTCTCCCAGGGCGCTGTGTAACATACGTTCAAAATGCATTCAGCATTCCGAAACAATGGCTACTATACAAGCATGCGCTATTGCAACACACCAGCATAAAGAGTTGAGTTGATGCCAGTGCCAGGGTCTTACGATGGTTCGGGTTGAAAAAAGTTCCGGGTCGCGAACAGAGGGTGCATCATTCCGGTACTTTTCTGAACTTGCTGTCCCTTCAGTACAGCATGTTCTCATTCTTTCGTGGACTCGCAACTTGGATACTCCCTCTGAACATGTGGGTACCGCCTCGATTGGCTGCTGGGCTGGTGAAGGCTTCGGCGGCAGGAGCTGCACAACATGCTTGGAACACCACTAATTAATACTTGCAACTTGCAACCCTTCTGCTCAATCGGAGTCCACCCTGCTCCTACGAGCCTTCTGCACCCGAAACCAAAACACGCCCAGGCGCATACACAAACTCGGACTGGCTGATCTCGTCGCTGCCGTCCGTGTCAAATTCGTCGAACATGCGCCGGTAGCCTCGGCAAGCCACTCACGCCCTCGGATGTGGAATGCAGGGTTTCAGGTTCCAGGGTTTGGCACGGTGTCGTATACTGCCATGGCAGGCCATAGCCATTACGTGGCAGGGAAAGACAGAGCGATCGGTAGGTCGACCGGTCTTATCTGCATACTTGACTTCATGCATGGACCAAGAGGGACCTGAGGCGGCGGCGCTCAACCTCGGCAATGGAAACCCCCAACTGCCTGGCCAGCTGCCTGGCAAGCGCTTAGGAAGCTTAGGCACGAAATGAGAGCCTTCAGTATGCCTGAGCTTTAGCTTAAAGCAGGATTTGGGCGTGGTTTGATGGCTCGGCGGATTAGGGTGAGCGGTTCCAGAAGATCTGGAATCACGGACTTGTCCAGGGCTTTTCGCTCAGGGTTGAGGTCGAGAAGACGAGCCAATTGTCCAACGTCGATGAATGGATCTCAGATTCGGCAATTCTACAGTGTGAGTGATGCGTCCGTTATGTCGATGTGACCTATGCTGTGTCGAGGGCTTTCAATTTCGATGGAACCAAGTTCTCGCATGGCTTACATGATACTGTGGACTCTGAAAGTTAATCTGCACAGACAGCCGGCCAAACCGTGATATCACCTAAAAGCTACCTCTCGCCGCATTCAGTTTTTCCCGTTGCAGACTTTGCCATGCTTGGATGCCTACGCATGTGATCCTACAGTCAGGGTGGCAATCAGACCCGAAATTGCAGCAGCACCAGCAAGTGCAACATGCAGGTGTTGATTGTGTGCTTTCGGAAAAACCAATCCCGAACTAGTTCCTGGCTGGCGTGCACTTCTGAGCTTATATGGTTTGACGAAGGCCACGAAACTATGACAAGTTCTTACGCACCTGACGAAACAACGCATGGCCAAGAGCTGAACCGGCTGCCTTTTTCGATCTGCGGCGGTGCGCAACAGTCGCTTGAAGGCCCGTGCTGGCTTTGCCATGACCTTCTTGTTCAAGACTCTGAACAATTCCGTGTAACATGACCGAAGTGTGCACAGCCCGCTCCACGGTGGAGACAGGCTGCGGACTTAGAAAACCCTCATCTGGTTCAGACCCCGAAGCTGCGTGGGGGTTCCCCATGACATTCTACGAGCCTTCTTCAGGTCACGAACGTTGTTGGGGAGGTTAGAAGATTTGAAGACTTGCTTCCCAAACAGATAAAGCCCAAAAGACTGAAGCATATCATCTAAGTAGCTGCTAACCTGCCTCTGGACTTCACCGTAACAACCCTATCGCTTTCCCTTTCCCTTACAACCACAGTATAGTGGCACTTTTTATGAGCTCCCATAGGACCTGTTATAGTAACCCTTAACCCGCCTTATAGTAGCAACCCCCCTTCCCAGAGCCTCCAAAACCCCTTAATTAAGGAATATACCTTAAATCATATTATGGATCCTACTACACTTTAAGGTACATTCCTTAATTAAGGGGTTTTGGAGGCTCTGGGTTTTCTACTCTTCCCACAGTATAGTGGCACTTTTATAATGTAGTAACCCTACGCCCTTATAGTACCCCTTTATAGCAAACCCCCTTTTCTACTCTTCCCACAATAAACTCCCATAGGGTCCTTTTATAGAAACCCTTAACCCTTATAGTACCCCTTTATAGCAATCCCCCCTAAACCCTAAACCCTAAACCCTAAACCCTTTTCTACTCTTCCCACGCTTTGCGTTCACTGCGTCGGCGTGGTGTCCACCGGCCCGGGCCTCGGGCGCCGGGGAGCCAAAGTCCTGGGCAACTCCACGGCGTTATAAGAGCTCCTTTAAGGGTCCCTTGTATTAAAGGGATCTATAGGGGTTCTATAAGGGTATAGGGTTTAGGGACTACTTGGAGGTTCAGGGGTAGTTATAAGTAGGGTCATAAGTCCCCTAATATGGTTTATAACTATACTTATCCCACTTGATAACCCCACTTATAACTACCCATGAACCTCGAAGTAGGGCCCTTGGGTTTGGGGGTTTAGGGATGCTTTTCTTTTTTTTGAGGGCCTTTTCAGGGATGCTTTAGGGTTTAGGGGCAACTCCACGGAAAGGTAGGGCCGATGGGTTTGGGGGTTTAAGGGGAAAGCCCGTCTCTTTAAAGATCTTTACAGGTTCTGTAAGGGGCCCTCAATAGTCAGATGACGGTCCCGGGGTTGCAATCTCTTGAAGGATTTTTCAGAGGTCCGGGCGGGGGTTAGTCTATTCTTCCATACAGGTTTTAGGAGAAGTGCATGATCACATGTGCTTTTTTGGTAAGTGCGATGTGTCCAGGGAGCACTCTAGCGGCCTTGACACCGTGAAGGACGAAATCGGCCATGACAAAGAATGTGTTTTTTTTTTTTTTGTTGAACGGCCCTTTTCCTCCTTGCTACGAGTCCGAAAGAATGTGGTTTAGGATTTAGGGTTCCTTGGACGGGTTCTGTAAAAGTTATACAGTATTGGCGCGCCGAGAAATAGAATAGGGTCCTTTGTAGGGTTCCTTCACAGGCTTTTGCAAGGGTTACCATAACTTTTTAAAGTTGGAACAAGGTTTTGGGGCATATTGGAAAACAAGTATGTTAATGAACCCTCCAAACACGGCTGGTACCTGTTCGGCCTCTTTACTAGGGTGTCCAGTTTTATAGAGAGGATCAGAGGTTAACCTATGGCGTGATTGTATAGTCATGCCCAGACCGGACTGTTGAGCTTAACGTTCTGGCGCTTAAAACTTTAAGGGGGACCACAATATCTATTACTGAGGCTTGTACCTTAAGCAGTTCCAGGTTTCAAGGCAACGAGGACTGCCATAATCGAGCCTGAATCCCACCGCAAGGGAGCGGAAGAGGGCACTTGGGCTCCAACACAGGACCTCTAGAACCGTAGGACCGTGGAAAGAAAAAACGATCGCGGAAGTTAATACGGTCGCTAATAAGTTAAGCCAAGGGCTGTTGCTGGGCCATGGCGTCCATGCAGCTCAGCATCCTTAGATTCGGTTTTTCTGGCAAGGTCTGCAGCGGTTTCGGCGCTCACACTCGGACAAGCGGTTTAGGGTTCAGCGTTTCAGGGGGCAGAAATCCGAGAAAACCATCACCTGCAGCTTTGGGAGGCTGTGAGATTCTCAGTTCCCGATCCAGTTGTTTGGCGATTGCCTGGAAATCCATTTGACATCATCTAACATCAGTTTGTGAAACACAGCACAAGATCTACAGTAATCGTAGTTCTCTAAAACTAGGGTCCCTTTACAGAAGGGTGCCGTGCGATTTTGGGGACCCAAATAGGGATTCGAATTTACAGCAATACCCGTGACAGAGAAAGCCGAGAAGCACTTGGGTTAATGACGGATTCGGACGGAGCTGCTTGAAGACCTGCTCCAAAAGGAGGGGGGGAAGGGCTCGGGGCCGGGTTTGGGGTTTTGGGATGCTTTAAACCTTGTTTTGCAACTGGCTTGCAACGTCACCCTAACCCTTAAAATCTAAGCACTATATAAACCCTAACCTCCCAAACCCAGGGCTGGAGAGCTTTAGGTGTTGGGGCGTCGGGTCGACGGCTTACCATCAAAGGACCCCAAGGTCCTCGCACTACTACTCTCAATAGGATTTAGGGTTTAGGGCTCCCCTTGGGTATCACACGGCCAAGGCTCCGCAAACCGTGAAACTCTCGAGAACTCTTCAGGTCAACAATTCACCATTTTGAGTTGAACTGTATTTAAAAAATAAGCTCAAGAAGCGTCGTATCTCTCAAAGCCGCATGGAAGAGGGTGCTTCATGTGATATAGGGTCTCTCTAGTAAGGGCTCGTTAAAGAAGGATGCCTCAAAAACACTCGTTAAATAGGGTCTCTCTGAATCCCTCAACCCTGACCCCCTTCACCCTTAAACCTCTGAACCCTTAAACCCCTAATGCAGGGGCCTTTATAATTTGAATAGGGTTTTCCGTGTTCCTTATCATATGTATGGTATACTATCCTCAAATTATTAAGGCCCCTATACTATAGAACCCTACTCCTTTAAGGATCCCTTTAAAAGGTTGAGCAAACACGCCAAGGCGGCCTGCAGGTCCAGACGCCCGCCGTCGTGCCCTCCATCCTGGGCTTCTTGTCGCAAACAGTCTTCTTGAATTTTTTCTCCTAGATTCTTCTTCGGGCTTCGGATTTAGGGGCTTGGGACTTCGGGTTCTGGGATTTAGGGTTTTGTTGATGTTGTGTTCTTCGTTTGTTCTTTCTTTGTTTCGGTCCCTCCTTCCTTTGCTTACTGACTTGACATGTGCATGTACATGTTCGTACGGTATGATACATATCCATATCGATACCCATCCCTTTCCATATCCACGCCCCATACATTAGCAGGTGCAAAGGCTTAGGCTCAGATGAAGCACAGGGCCCTGCCACGAGCGACACTAGCCGATTCCGGGAAATCTTGATAGGCCCTGATAGGCAGGAGACAGGAATTTGTACGATCATGTTTCCATGTTCCTCAGTAGTGTCCATGCAGTAAGTGTGAATTTGGTAATCGACTCTCCTTCCAGTCCCGGTGAAGCTGTCATGTAGTATCTGCCAACTAGCATCTGCCAAAACCCTGTTCCATTACAAAAGCAAGTGGTTGGAAACACCAGACACTGAAACTGCGATTTCGGACCAGGCACGGCAGCGTTCGCGATGAGGCCGTACAGCCAGCCTAAGAGGAGAGTGGGGAAAGGTTTCGGATTTCCGTTCTTGCTCCCACCAGATTCGCTGACTAGGTGGCACTGCAGGAAGAGGTTGGGAGAAGCAAGTCTTGAACCCTATAAACTGTCCAGTGACTATCACAGATACAGCAGTAGCCGGAAAGGTGGAACATCATTATCCTCTTGGCCTTGTAAGATAAATAAGGCACAGGGAATCCTGGCACTAATCATCCGAAATCCATGTCCCACCTTTCTGGGGTTCGCTGTAGGGTTAGGGTTCGTGCGTCCGGGAAATCTGCCCAGAAAGCCTGGCAGGCGGCACCCCTTTTGCCAAAGCTCTGTGGTTCCCAAGCTCTAGACTCTAGATAATAAGAAAAATCACTATTCAAATTGTCCTACAAGAATTAGTAGTAGTAATAACAATAATAATAATAATAATAACAGTTGTATCACTAATAAGAGTAGTACGCGACACATTCTCACGGGTGAACAAAGCAACTTCCAGCTGGTTAATAAGCACAAAGAAGATCCTACAGCTCAGCAGGGCAACATAAAGCAGACATGTCACAGAAGCCAGCCAGGCAGGAAGGCAGGCGGGAAGGCACGCCGGAGAGTCGGAGAGAGAGAGAGAGAGAGAGAGAGAGAGAGAGGGGGAGAGCGAGAGAGAGAGAGAGAGAGAGACAGAGAGAGAGAGAGGGAGAGAGAGAGAGAGAGAGAGAGGGAGGGAGGGAGGGAGGGGGCGAGAGCGAGAGCGACTGAGACTGAGACCGAGACTGAGGGTGAGAATGACAGCCAGCGGGTGAGAGAGACTGTGTGTGTGTGTGTGCAAGAGTGAGAGATACAGGCAAGGGCGAACGAGAGCGAGGGACATAGAGAAAGAGAAACTCTGTGGACGCCTGTGCTTGCCAGAACAAGCGAGCGAAGTGGGTCTGCGAGCCAGGGCAAGAGAGATTCTACACGACATAGCGCGGGATGTAGAGAGGAACACCGAAAAAAGACTGGTTAGTGTCGGGCGGCGCATCTCCTCACAGACCGGCATGGCCGAACTCTCCTGCCACTTGAGGTATGATCGCGGATTTAGACTTGCTGCATACCCTGGGCCTTCGACCATAAGGCATCTTAGTGACCTCCTCCTCCTCCTCCTCCTCCTCCTCCTCCTCCTCCTCCTCCTATTACTACTGCTACTGCCGCGAAGACTTGTCAAGCTCGCGGGTTCATCAAGGGAGCTAAGCTTTCCAATGCTTCTGAAGCCAAGCAGGACTCGGCAGCATCGTGGCTTTCACAGCTTCTATGCCTATACTATACCACGTATGCTATGTGCCTTCAACTTCAAACTTCATGTATGCTCACAGAAACACGCACGTATACATCTTTGGACGGCTCTGTTCCAGGGTCGCTGCGGCCCGACATCCCAACACTGCCCAAACATTCATTCCATTTAGCGGCTCACTGCACCCCAAAGGCCACAAAGCTTAACACAAAACAAGGTAAGCCGTACTCTTGGGACAGTTGAATGCGAGCTTGGAAGCTAAACCCTGAACCCTGAACCTTAAACCCTAAACCCTACAGTATCCTTTTAAAGGAGCCCCCCTAGCCCAGGAGATGCCACGCTGACAGTCAGCCCGACTGTTCGTCCCCTCGGCTAGGGGCTGGAAAACGATGCCTTGCCGTAGATCAACTCCAGGCGCTCCACCTTCAAACGAGGAGCTTTGGTAGCGGCCTTAATAATTAGACTAGGGTTTTGGGGCCCAGTATACTATAATAATAAACTGGAACCCCACCAAAGTAGTATAGGTAATTAGGCGGTTCTGGGCATTGTGTGCTCAATCATCTGCTCGCCTCGAAGCATTGGCCCCTTCTTCGAAGAAGGGGCCGACAGGCAGTATAGTGGGGCCGATAGGCGGAATAACAGTGTGAGGTTGGGCCACGGCATGGCACTGGAAACCGGGTCATAGTAGCTTAGTGCCGTAAGGCGGCTACGGGAGAGTCTTTGGCGAGGCTTCCAACTCTTCAGTCTGAGGCTTATCGACCCCTCCGACTCTTACCAAGCGATCCCGATGGACCCATCTGCGAGGTGTATGAACTAGCAAGTGAGAAAACTGCAGAGCACAAGCACCTGCTGAAGCTAAAAGAAACAACCGTCACATGCAACGGAGCCCCATGCACCCGCAACGTTATCTCCTGTGGCTCTGTCGTTCAATCAACTTCCTTCACCAATCCTCGGGGCGGGTTTCGGAGAACCAAACCCTAAGCCCAAAATCCTGCGGGCAGAATCTGGATTCTCCAGGCCGGTCCTCCCGCGAGAGGCTGATGGCATCTGCCAGTGACAGCATACCGTCCCCATCCAGGTCATACAAGGCAAAGGTGAGATGGATGCGCTCCTGGCAATGACAGCCCGCGTCAAAGCAATCTCTTGATCCGAGGGTTTGTAGGCACATGAGTCTGCAATTCGACTTGCTGCTGCGCCTAGGGTTGCTCTGGATGCATGCTTTCTTGCTGGCTGCGAGTTTGTTCGTAAGAATACCTGCGATGCCTTCCTGCACTGCCTGCACGTAAGCAAACCTTTCTCACGCACTATCAAACTGCAGCTTCAAAACTTGAACTCATCCTTGACCACAATATTTATGGTCAACACCCTACCGGAATGAAGGCATGGTCGTAATGGAACCATCAAATGAGGTGTTAGCGCTGTCTATGCCGTCAAAAATGATGGGAAGCCCGGCCCAAACAAAGCACTACTCTATAAACGAATGCTGTGTGTAAACTATACCAGCACCTGCAATGCGAACCCCTCGTCCTGCAAAGAGTACCAGTCTCCGTTGCGGTAACGCTCCTGGGGCGACGGCTTTTTTGGAATGTCTTAGGATATTGAGGTTTAAAGGGCTTTCGTCTTGAAAGGCTTGCTTACGGCTGTCTTAGGATGCTTTAAGCGGGTTGGAAGGGCTTTCGTCTTGACAAACTTTAAGATACTACGGTTGAGGGTTCCGTAAACCCTTCTAATAGGGTCTCAGGAGCTCCTAAACTTCCTAAACCCGAGCAAATTTAAGGTTAGGGCTCCCTGAAACCGAAACTGTACAAGGTTCAAAGTTCGTGGCTTTCCGAAACCGGAAGATGGCAACATGAATGTCCGTAGATGCCCTATGTACTCCAAAAGGAGGGCAGGGGAACCAGCCATTGAAGCTGTAAGCATCCGTGACTACTACTTAAAGAAAGCTGCTTTGAATACCCCACCTGCGGGGATCTCCTGAAATACATCCCCAGAGCCTCCAAAACCCCTTCATCATGGAATATACCTTAAATCATATTAGGGATCCTATTGTAACTTAGGGTACAATCCTTTAATTAAGGGATATTGGACTCTCTGACAAGCCAGAGGGGGCATAATTAACGTAGGGTTTTGGGGTACAGTATATTACATTCATATTACAATATTATAATAGGGAACCCAAAGAACAACAGTGGCAATTATTTAGGCTTCCGTAGTGCGTTCATTTACGGGTTGGGGTTTAGTTGTGGTTTACGGGTTTGGGCCAGGGAGATACCGACGGCTTTTGCAGGAGACTCTGCATGAGAGCTCAAAAGACGCCAGAAACGGTTTGGCGGGTGCTGCTCTAGGGTTTAGGGTTCAGGGTTTAGGGCTTAGGGGGACCATCCAATGTTGGAACTAGACAAGCAGAAAGTATCGCAGTGTCGTTGCAAAACTCTGTTGAACGTCGTGTAGCAATTAAAGGGAGAATAGGGTCTGGGGGGACATGAAGCTACAATCATAATCGCAACCCTAAGGAACATAGCATTACAAATTAATACTATACTCCTTACGGTTCCTATTGTGAAATGTATTATTTTGTGGGCCAAGCCAAGGAACCAGGAACTGCGCCCACTCCAGGATGCCGACAGGGCTGCCCTTCGGGGACACCGCTTCAAATAGGCGTCCTGTAAGGCTTTTCGTGGCAAAGAGGGAATTAGGGTTTAGAGTCTAAAGAGTTTAGGCTTAAAGGGCTTCAGATAGAAAGTACGGCCAAAAAGGCTGCACAGGAGGGCCTATGGGGTTTCGGATCTTTTGGGCCTGGGGTTCAGGGTGCAGGATCTGGAGTCTTTTGCCTAAGGTTCTTGCTCAAGAGTTCCGGGTTGAAGATTCAGGGTGCTTGAAGCATCAAAGGAGTTCGGAAGCATGTGATGTGGGCAAACAGGGCAACAGGGTGACACTAACGTAACTGGAGTCCATCTTACCTGTCTCCGATCCTGTTCTGCAAGGTTGAAGGTTTAGCAAGCTTCAGATACTGGAAACATCAACACCGAAGCCACAAAATGCACGTTCATTTTTATCCCATCAACCCCAAGCCCCAACTGATATCTCACCTAAAGTTTCGATGAAGGATCAAGGAGCTTTCTGATATTGCCCAAGAACGATCTCATTCAACTGCAAACGTGCCCGACAACCAGAAGTAGGCCAGGAATCGCAGCTTTGGGCAAGTCGTCGGATACGAAACACAAACTTACATCTGCATGTTTGTATTTCGTGCAATCCTGCGATGTCGCCGACGGGGATTCCAAAGATCCTTGGGAGCAGCGCGGACAAGTACGGAGTATCTACCACAACTGGTGAAACAACACTGCACGTACTTTGCATCCATCTCAACAACTGCTTGTGCAATCCGCGACTAGTCTTGAGTAGATACCGTTGACATACTACAGGTTTTGGCTACAGCATAGTTACAACTGCAACCACACTCGTCCAGACATGTTGACTGCTGCCCGAGTGCATTACTCGGTGTGCCACATCTTTTAGACATGAGACCATTTCATTTTCAGCTTTTCCGAGCTTTCAGGAGGTTTGCTATATCTCAATACTATCTATCTCTATATATATATATAGCATAAAGTAATAACAAATATGAACATGTATCTCCCCCCCTCTCTCTCTCTCTCTCTCTCTCTCTCTCTCTCTCTCTTATACACTCTCTCTCTCTCTCTCTCTCTCTCTCTCTCTCTCTCTCTCTTATACAATATACTATACTATATATACAAATATCACTGGAACATTAAGTCCGGAACATAGACGGGCAGCTCCGCAGCACTGGGGGCCGAGATACCATGCACGTGATGTGTGGAAACTCGTATACGAAGCTGGGTGCAACAAATGACACGCATTAAGCAGAAAGGCATACATAATACTTACTTACTGACTTACTTACTGACTTACGTACGCCAACCAAGCATACAGACGAACATGGATGCATGTGCATGTACATACATACATACATACATACATACATACATGCCTACATACACGCATACATAGATGCATACATACATGCACATATACATGCATATACACACATGCGTACTTATACACAAACAGAGAGATGGACATAGGCATAAACATATATACATGTGTGTGTGTGCACATGTTTTGTTGCCATGGTCTGGGTTTATGCACGATATGCAGAATGCATGTTCGTGTATACTTTGCACATACAGAGCTACACAGTGAAAAGATGCATGCAAACATACGTGATCACACAGTAATACTACGTCGAGTTGGCATCCGCTGTGAGTTCTGCTGTGCACACGGGTGCAACCGCGCAGCTTGTGCGCTGATACGACGAGGCGTGCCCGCTGGATCAGCCAGTCCTGTTGCAACCGACTCAGGGGTCCGATTTTTTCGCAGTCTGGCACACATGCGGCTCTAAGACTGACCAGCAGCGGCGATTGTGACGGCGTCTACGGCTTCAGGAAAGCTTAGGGCATTTGCCATCCTGGAAACTTGGGACCTGTGCTCGAGCTTGCTCTAGAAAGGAACCAAAGCTGCACGCACCTCGTCCCGAAGCGCCTCGAAGACGTGCATGTGCCAGGAGAAGTCCTAAGTTTGCCAATCATCTTTGGAGTTTAGGAGATTTAGATGGAGTTGGGGTGTAAGGAAAACGGACCTTCGGAATAGATCCCGAAACACTAGCAACGAATCGTCCTTCTGAGGTCTCAGACGGCCTTCAACACTCCAGCCGCCAGTTGTGAGCGCCAATGTTGTTGCCAAACCCCTCATTAACCAAGCCGGAACACTGCTTCTTTGAGGAAGGGAAGGCGAGCACGAAGCTCCTTCATTTCGGCCTGCTGATTTCCGGAACTCAGGAAGATCTGAAGGAATCGGGGCGTAAGGATGCCACAGGTTCTGCGGGTCTAACGGCTATGATTTTGCCTCCTGGAACGAATCCTGTTGCATGAAAATTGCAACCTGTGGGCAGCCGAAATGCTCGTTGCTGTCCAGCTTATGGTTTCCGAAGCGCTGTGTAGTGTTCATTGTCTTGACTAAGGTTTGCAGCAGCTTTAAACACATGAGCAAACGAATTGCAAAATCGATGGTTTCAGACGGGCAGGACGATGCCTACAGGCTCTACGACGGTTAGGCTTAGGGCCTTCGGCTTGGCTGTACCCTCAACTATGCACCACGCTACACCGCAGAAAAGTGCAACAACACGTGGAACAACGATGGACCAGTGCTTGTGTCACTCGAACGTGAAAAGCGGTGCACTGCAAACGAAACGTAGAGTAGCCTTCTAATATAGAGGCCTGAATCAGTAGAATAGTGGTCTGGGACCCATGACACTATAATAATTATACTAAGGAACCGGCTCCACCTTCACCCGGAACACCATCATCACCATCATAGTCATCATCATGCCGATGGCCATCATCCTCGGGACCACTGCAGGCCATCATCATCATCAGGGTCATTACCGCTAGCATCGCCGGCCCCACCATGACGACCACTAGCACTTCGACCAGCTTCAAACTTGGTAGTTGCTGTCGCCCTCACCATCCCGAGCATCATAACCATCACCATCAGCATCTGCATGCCCGGTGCCATCATCGAAGCGCCATACAAGGAGGATCGAACTTTGGCAGAAGCACGTGGATACAACTTGCCACAGCCCCATTTAAGATACTTTTCAACCCACTCACCAAATCCTCCTGTCCGCTACAGTCAAGTAACCCTCTGTAAAACCATACGTTAAAACCATGAAGGACACAGCAACGGTTCAAGAAACCACAGAAGAAAACAAAAAAAAAGAGACTCCAGAAACCGCCCTCTTGAAGGAGTAGGCCTCGAAGCGTTCGAGTGCTGCGGCAGCTCCCGGGTTGCTACCTGCTGTCGGCTTCGAAATAAAAACCGAAAAGGTTGAGGGATCAGGGGTTGGGGGTTTCGGGGTTTAGGGGTTTTGGGGTTTAGGATTCAAGGGTTTAGGGTCTAGGGGTGTAGGGCTCGGGGGGGATTAAGGCTTTTGGGGCTTAGGTTTTAGGGTACTCCTGAACCCAACCCCGGACGCGCAGCCGCACGCACAATTGTCCATCTTCGCAAGGCACCTGGCTCTGCCGGCTTCACAGCGCTGGCGAACCTGGCTGTGATTTCGGGACAGAGTATGGCCTAAGATGGTTGCAACAAGAAGCAGCTCGTATTCTACCATGTCACTACATACTGCTGTAGGTTCATACCGGGAAATACCGGGAATGACAAGTTTATCCGAGCTTGCCACCTATAGTTCAGTCATGAACCAATTTAAAGACTTCGGGTTTGGGGTGGACTTGGATAGCACGACGTACGGTAACATACGTGCGATGATGTTATAGGTCATGCAGGATTTTGGTCTCTTAAGGTAAAGTAGAATCAAGGGTTTTTGCTCGAACCCCAAAACCATCTTTGCTCAATTTCGTGTAAACTCCCCTTGCTCAATCCCTGTGTAAGGCTTTCCCCAAACCCTGCTTAAACCATACAAACACCCCAGAAATCCTAAGGCCTTAAACCCCCATCAACCCTTAGAAAGACAGCCGAAGAGCTGGTGAGGCGCTGCCGACTCCGGCGTGGTCACCTCCGTAATTTACCAGGCTGCTTGGAAAACCGTTTTTATGCCCCCATCACAGGTCTTGCGCCCGCTCTCGAGAATCCCAGACCTCACAACCCTGAGGCCAGAGTCTAAAGCCTTCAATTGCAACTTAATGGGACGAAGAATCCGTCCGTTTAGAGGTCCACTTTGGCTTTGCAGATCTAAGGGGCGCTATTATGAAATATCCGTGCGTGGCTGCCTTCAACTTCAGGGTCACCGTGGACTTCTTGTCCCGTCTGGAATGCCTGGGCCCGGGGCTCGAGCCATTGCAGGCACTGGCGGGAGCGACGAAACAGGTCCCAAAACTGAGAACTCTGTCTCCTAGCTTCGGGTTGTTGCTTCTTCGTCTTGTGGCACAGGATTGACAGGCCCTCAAGCACGCGACACCTCGCTGTACGTACGCGAAGAGTTCCCGGAAGGTGTAGCGTACCGTAAACCCGATTGAATTTCAGTAGGCATTTCGGTAGGCATGAGGATGAAGAGTCTCGATTCTCTGAACAGTCTACTACGAGGTCTGGGAAGAAACGGCTGCATCTCGAAGGGCAAGTTTAGGTTTCGTTCTGCATCGAGAATATGACTCTCAGCTCTTTATATAGGTAGTTGTCAAAATTAAGGTCCCTTTTTTTGGGTCCCTTAAATATTAGGTGCCGCATTATAATTTCGACCCAAAAAGGGACCCTAATATTGACATTGACAACCCTAATATAGTACGGCACCTAATATTTAGGGTACCCCAAAAAGGGACCCCAATTTTGACAGCCACCCAAAAAGGTGGGGACTTCGACTCCGTGCTCTGGCGCGCCAAGCGGCTCCTCCTGCGTCAGCGTCACTTCGCCGTCGAAGCCCCCGGGCCAGAACTGCGAGCTTGGCATCTCATAGCTGCCCAGCAGCTCATCGACCTCGGCTGAGCTGCGACTCGCCATCACTCGTTTGCCCTAAATTACTGATTACTACAGCCATGAAGCCCCAACTTATCAAACCCAACAGGCTCGAAGGTCATGGATTTCAGGAAGCATCTATCTTGGATAGCTCCGAAACAGCGCATGCCATGCCACAGCATTTCTGAACCCCAGAGTGTTGGGTGCATTAAACTCTGACCCTGAACTTTAATTTGGAAGCCCAAACCACCCGAATCCTAAACAATTTCCACACCAAACAAAGCTCGTGACTTGAGAGGATCGCTGGTCGCTGTCGTGTATGGCGAAGCGAAGGGCCTTCCGTCGAGGCCATGGTAAGAGATAGATAGACGGCCGAAGAGAAAATAAATTGCTCCGGCTCCGGGTTCGCCGAAAGCCCCCACCACCAACTATGATGACAAGACCAGAACCACACCACAACACAGGTATAGGTATGTTTGGAGTGTCGATATCGGGCCCTCACATGGGGGCTTATGGGCGCTGGCTTCCAAATAGCTGCTGCTGAAGCCATGAGCATGAAGGCTACTCTAACTCCAGGTCTGCAGCTGCTGCTGGCAGAAGTTGTCATGTTTCCTGAAATAGCAATGTGCATTTGTGCGTGGCACGGCGAGCAAACACATACACATGCAGAACGTGCACAAACGACGGCAATCGAGGGCAATTCCGCCGATCACCACGATTGTGCACAATTGTGCGTGTCTGCAACTCCTGCGCAATGCTCGCTGCAACGATGTGCCCGCGCTCTGCATCATCTTCGCAACAGTTTTTGGAAAGGGCTCCAAGCGCATATGAAGACTCCATCGCCCAACCAGAACAGAGATTCCGCGGTCGACAAGCACTGTGAAAAGGCACAATGTTTCACAATTGACATCAACTGAACCTTTTATGCTCATCATACCTTACGCCCCCATTAGCGACTCTCTGATATGTATGTGCTGTGAATTAGAATTCGCAGATACGGCTCATGCCGGGCCTAGGGCGGGTTCGAGTTTCAGTCTGTGGGCACGTGCTTGGGGCAAGACAGGGGCTTCGATTTCACAAAGCTGTCTTAACCTGCGGTAGAGAAGCCTGAAAGTTGTAAGCCCAAGCCTTTCGAACTTTCAGGCTCTGCGCTTGGAACCGAGAACCGCTCCACCAGGTGCCTCGCCGGGGATGTAGTCGAAGTCCTTCTTTGTCTCATTCCACACCTGCATAGCCGGGGTGTCCAGACGTATGTCGTACCAAAATAACCATTGAGTTCAGCCTGCTTGTCAAAACATGTCGCTATGCTCCCCAAGAACTATCTTCACTAATTGAACCGTTGGAGCATGTTGCCGTGATCCAAAACCGCAAGAGTAAGGCATCAAGCTCAAATCCGGGCCCCTGCATCCAAAAACTCCAAACACAAGTCTTCAGCTACATTCCCTCAACCATGCCAACCCCCGGAAGTAACAGATGTTCTAAAGGGCAACCTGCAGAGGCACCCAAACCCATTTTCAAACCAGTGACTGAAAAGGGTAGGGCCTTTTGGTTTGAACGTCTTTCCTTCAGGGCCGTTTAGGCCCTTGGGTCTAGGCTCTGAACCTATGAACACAAATCTGACATACAATTCTCAAGCATCGCTGTGCAGCTTCCCCCCGACATCCGAGGTCCTAGGAGCCACACGAGAAAAGCTACGGTAACCCTTGGCATCTGCCCCCGCCCACTAACAGTGACCACAATCTGAACCACAACGAAAAGCACAAGAAAATCTGGTGGGTTCACCGGTTTTCCAGATTTGAAAAATGAACAGCCAGGAGCCTTGAGTGTGAAACCTAAATCTTCGACAAAACATGCCCCGAAACCATGCTTCCACTTTCGGTAAAGTCAACATCTGCCGAACGCACAGCCCAGAAGCAATTTTCGTTTCCAATTAGTCACTGGACTGCAACCCTCGGCCGAAACATTTCGTTCCATTCCCTCTACGCGCAGCCAGGGATGGCGGGGGGGCCTGGGTGGATGGATCGGACGTGGACCCAGGGGATGGGGCGATTCTGGGTGGTGAAAGCGGGAGGGAGAACGACTGATTGATGCAGCTCCTAAGACCTGGCAGGGCCGTCCAGGGCCTCCCAGGGCCTCCCCAGGCCTGGCACCTTTTGACCAATTTAGAAGGCAATCCTGGGTTCTGCTGTAAATTGGAAGTTTTCGTCTAGTTTGTGCTGTTTCTTGTGCTCCAAATCGCAAAACAGTTGTGCGTTTCTTGTGCTGGATTTTGGAGTTTGTGGTCGGGTTTGTGCTCACTTTAGCAAAACAGTTGTGCGTTTCTTGTGCTTTTTCTTGTGCTCTAGTTTGTGGTTTTTCTTGTGCTGGATTTTGGAGTTTGTGGTCGGGTTTGTGCTCACTTTAGCAAAACAGTTGTGGGTTTCTTGTGCTTTTTCTTGTGCTCTAGTTGGTGCTTTTTCTTGTGCTGGATTTTGGAGTTTGTGGTCGGGTTTGTGCTCCAGTTTAGCAAAACAGTTGTGCGTTTCTTGTGCTTTTTCTTGTGCTCTAGTTTGTGCTTTTTTAAATTAAAACTCAATGGGCTGCTTCCCGGGCCGCACTCGAGAGTCGCTAGAATATTCTAGTTTGTGCTTTTTCTTGTGCTGGATTTTGGAGTTTGTGGTCGGGCTTGTGCTCTGGGTTGCAAAACAGTTGTGCGTTTCTTGTGCTTTTTCTTGTGCTCTAGTTTGTGGTTTTTCTTGTGCTGGATTTTGGAGTTTGTGGTCGGGTTTGTGCTCACTTTAGCAAAACAGTTGTGGGTTTCTTGTGCTTCTTCTTGTGCTCTAGTTTGTGCTTTTTCTTGTGCTGGATTTTGGAGTTTGTGGTCGGGTTTGTGCTCCAGTTTAGCAAAACAGTTGTGCGTTTCTTGTGCTCACTTTTGCGTTCTAGTTTGGAGATTTTTGGGCAAACTGCTGGCCTGATCCAAATTTCAAGCAAAGTAGTTGTGCTTTTCTTGTGCTCCCTTTTGCAATCTAGTTTGCAGATTTGGCCTGGCCAGATGGCACCCTGGCCCTGCTGGCCGGGGGCCGGGCGCATTCCGAGACTCTCGTCGATTTTCTGCAGAAATCCTAAACCCTCCGAAAGCACCAGGCATCAATTCTTCAAGCCTCCACTATTTGCCTTTGGGCTAATTACCGAATTGGAACTCTCGGTTCCCGAAATCAAAAACCTGCTGAACAGTTGGGGCCCCCAAGTTTTGGATACTGGATACTCCAAATGCCCAAACCTGGTTAACAGTTGGGGCCCCCAAAACTCCAAATGCCAACCTCTGGAATCTAAAGCGAGGGCTCCCGAACTCCCAAACCTGCTGAACAGTTGGGGCCCCCCAAAACTGGGAACTCCAGAGGCCTCCAAACAGTTGTGCTTTTGCTGGGGGTGTATATATAAGGAAAGTAGTTTCCCACTGTTACTGGGCGGGGGCAGATCCCAAGGTAACCCACAAGTTACTTGACTGTCTGGCCGTCGGGATAAGCTGGAACCTTGGCAATAACCCTCGACTCAACCCTGAACCCCTAAACCCTAAACCGACCCCTTTTGAATCCAGACTCTGCTGATCAGCTAAACCGACCCCTAAACCCCAAACCCCTGTAAACCGCTATATCCGAAGAACTCGACTCTCGACGCATCCCGCCGGATCCAGCGAGTCCGTCACAGTCTTGGTCTGCCAGGGCCTGCGGTTTTGGTGGGCCTAAGGAATGCCAAAGGGTTCCTGGAAGGGGTCCGATAAGGATTCCTTCAAGGGTTTCCTTGAAAAAGAGACCCTTGAAGTCTTGAAGCGACCCTGAAACAAACCCTTACTGGGCTTCGACTCTCACACCACGAAACAGGTAGGGCTTCACGACTAAGCGTCTTGCCATTCTCAAGAATCAAGCCATGCAAATAATTTCGGACTGAGCTAGGCAACCCTCACGTACCATCCTGACACCCAAAGCCAACATACGAAACGCAACAGTCACGCTGACTCGGCCGGCATTTACCTGCAAACTTGAAGCTCTGTGGCCTCCGATGGCTGCATCTCTTTTAGATGCCATACTCACCGGGGCATTCTCGCGAATTGAAGTCTACTGTGGACTAGGTGCGTGGAAACCAGCACGTGCCCCTGTAGATTAGATCCTCCCCTCACAAGCAACCGACTAGAGTTCTGAAAAAAGGCTTCGTAAAGTTTACGGGGCGAGGCCAAGCAGTCGGTCGGCCTCTGATTCTGGGACTTTTTGCTGCCGGCAATCTCACCTCGGACCAGCTGAAACAGGGGCTGCGGACTGGAGCTGTGGCAGCAGTAGCCGTCACCTCCAGCCTCATCGCAACACAAGAAACAGAAACAGCACAGCGGCGACGCCACAACGAGACCCAGGCCGAGCAAGACGACGACAACCGACATTGTAGGCATAGCAGTAGCAGCAGCAGTACTAGGAGTAACGAACTAGGATAAGGATCAGGCCTCCAAGTCGGTAGTGGTAGTCGTCGTGGTGGTGGTGATAGTGGCGGTGGTGGCGGTGGTGGTGGTGGTGGTGGTGGTGGTGGTGGTGGTGGTGGTGGTGGTGGTGGTGGTGGTGGTGGTGGTGGTGGTAAGTAGTAGTACGTAGTTGTTGTTGTAGTGAGAGAAGTAGGAGCAGGAGCAAGTGGCAGCAGTTGGCAGTGGTAGTGGAAGCCACTACTCCAAGTCGCAGCGACAGCGGTACCAGCAGCAGCAGCAGCGGCGGCTTATGCGGCGGCGCTGGGGTAGTAGCAGTAGTAGTAGTAGCAGTAGTAGCAGCAGCAGTAGTAGTACTGACAAGTTCCCACTGCTCCAAAGAACACCCCGTCTGTCGCCTCTACCCCCACAAGATTACAACAGAACGAAGACTAAATCTGGTAGAAATCCCGCCAAAGGCCGACCAGCGGCAGGTGCAGTAGGAATCAGCCTTCACCGGGGGCGGCTCCTGCAGCAGAAAGCTTTTGGACTCTACACCCCTGAACCTGGACTCTAACCACCGAAGCCCTGAAGCGGAAGTAGGCCTTATATACCTGAT